AGGTGAGTGAGTAGATGAATCAGTTCCCTGCAATATAAAACACATTGTTAGGGCTCTAGACAGTATATATCATGCTAGACTAGTAATTTAACAAAATAAGACTAGAAACAACAACTGAAGGGATGCAACAAGCAAGGCACTTCTATTGAACATTTCTAACAAGTTGGGGATCCTATACATGTACAAGGAGGCTGCTCTGATGCGCTGCAAGAAGCAGACTCAATTAAAATCAAGTCTACTGGAGGGTGGCAATTACTGCGCTCCAGCAGACTCCATCATCATGTGTATCAGCATATACCCTGAAAAGTGGTACCCTCTACCCTGAAAAGTGGTGGCGGGGCACTTTAAACTAAAGCTTGTTTGATGAGCTTTAATTTTAAGTGCCCTGCTGCCATTTTTCAGCATGGGGACTCCAATACACACGATGGGCATTAGCATGGCTCTCAGAGCTGCATTAATTAAAGTACCTACCCTCCACCCCTGCCTCCTGGAACATGTCTATAAACACAGTCCAGGCAAATGAGTCAAGGCACTAGGATTAGTGCACAGTTAGAGGTACTTGTATACCATTTATAATAGGTTACTAGACTGTGGATAAAGTTGGGCAAGTTTTAAAAATTTAGTTTAGTTTATCTCAGCCTTTTTAGCATGCAAAATAGTCTCAAACAGCACAAAGAGTTTAGAATTTCCCCCAGGAGCACCACTGGCAACGCAGAAACATTGTAGTGTATATCAAATGTATTCTAAATCAGAACAGGTTCTCCCTTATGGTCATGTTCAGCGAGAGAGATGAGCCAAAGCAACAGAACTGAACACTGTTCAAGAACAGGGAACAGTCAAATGGACTCAGATCATCATTGTACTAGTGAATCCAAGGTTAGGAAACGTGAAGCTGCTTTCATAGCATAATATACAAGTCTTCAAAAAAATGTTTGAGGAACAATGTGTCAATTTTCTTTCAGAAATTTTTGCTTCCATGTTTTCTGTATTTATTTTAGACATGCTACTGTATATGCACAAAGTAGCCGACTGGTTTCACAAGAGTTTGCCTTGCCTCTAACTCATCTGAATTAGGAATCCTCACTGCTGGAAGTCTTACTGTATCACAAATAAAGGATGACTAGTACTCAGATTTATCATTAGGAAATAAAAACTCTTCAAGATCCTCTTCTTGGAAACTGTCTTCAGTATTAGATTGTTTTGCCTCTCACTACTGCATGTAGTTAACAATTTACTAGCAAGCTCTTCAGAGAACCCAGAGAAACTAAAACATATCCTGCCTTTTAAACTACTCAAGCAAGAACTATTTCTTTCACTTCACAATTTAAATGCCACCCTCCTGTTTGCTTTCCTCAAGTCATCCGATTCAAAGTAAAGCTACCCCTCCCAATCAAGCCATGGGCCAGGTGAATCTACAAAAAGCAGAGGGGCTTAGAACTCCCCATTCAGTTGTTCTATTCTATAGTTACATCCAAAACCTATGTGAAACAAAAAGCAAATTCCCCTGGCCACAGTAGGTAGTTGAGCAACATTAAAACCTTAGTAGATTGGGTGCAGGCTTGGTTTGAGCACCAAATGGCTACCATCCAACTGAAACCTAAAATTACCCCAGTTCAAGAAGTCCTTTAAACAATCGCATTTCTACCAGTTTTGTTTACAAAGAACATGAGAAGAAAAAAAAAAACCAAACAAACAAACCTCTTACTTGATCTAAAGTTAAAAGTGAGAGCCAGGTCATTCAGCAGTGGCTGTCTGAACTGTTAGTTCTATTTGCAAGGTCACATTAAAAACTGAAGTTCTAGTAACAGACTATTTTTTGTACTGTAATTAGACTCCACTTGTACAGTCAACCAAAATATCTTCTACTAAAGTCAGTTATCCTGTTTACAATTCAAGGTTTCTGCTTGGGAGAAGCACAGCTGCCATTGGACACAGTTATGTATATACTATCCCCTCGACTATAGGTCATGGCTTTTTTCCTTAACAGTAAGTCAACTGACTCGAGGTCCCTCAGGAGACTGCCAATTTAAGCTGGTAAAAGGTGGAGAACAAGCTATTTCTCAATAGTCTAGCACCCTGCCTTTTCATTCCCTGGACTTCACCTGAGACCCGGCTACCCATGGGCATTCACAGTGAAATATACCAAGACTGTCCTGTTTCCTTAGTGTGCTTCCTCTCTCATCTGAAACAGAACACTAGATTGCAGGTGATCACAAGTTAATTTGCATAACTTCACTCTTCCCATTGGAGAAGAGTGAAATGAGCTCTCTCCATTCCCTTGTGTATGTATTGTACTTTATGAACACCATAAGCCAGACCAATATATCATTGATTTAAAAACACTACACAGAAGAATCCCTTTCTATAGGGAATACAAAAAAATTACAAACAGAACAGACTTGCAGTTGTATTCCACCCCACTGTTTCTTCACAAGCTCTTGCCTCCACATTCCTTTGAGTTTCAGATAACTTTACCTTAAAACTGAAAATTGTATCTGGGGGCTTTCTTAGTGTAAGAATTTAAAAAAAAACAAACACCCTGATACAAGAATACAATACTATACATAAGTACCCCAAAAAAGAATGCTAACATGGTATTTCTATGATCTGAAGATCATTCCCCATAATATCAACACTAAATCTTCTCTTTTGTTCTTCTTTTTCACTTTTGGGAGCAGATTGACCAGAACACTGAAACACTCACAGCACACCACCTAAAGTGGCTTACAGCTTTGCATCACTAAAGAAAAACAAAACACAGAAGAAGAGTGCTAATGTATCTGGCCTCTCATCCACTACTGGTTAGAGCATCATTATCAACATCTGCACTAAGCAAATAGGGCACTGAGAATATGCCCCCTCCTCCCTGCATGACCCTGTGCCTCTTGGAGCTCAGCTGCGCGCCCTAACAAGAAGGTGATCAGTTATTCCATGTGTGCATGGAAATCTGCTCTTTTGCTGACAAGGCATTCCATCCCCGAGC